GATCGTGTCGTGAGTAGGGCTGAAACAACTAATCGATTAATCGACGACTAATCGATTATTCTCTCTGGTCTCTCTCTGGTCTCTCTCTGGTCTCTCTCTGATCTCTCTCTGGTCTCTCTCTGGTCTCTCTCTCTCTATCTCTCTGGTCTCTCTCGGGTCTCTCTCCCTGGTCGGCTCTCTCGTTCGCTGGTCTCACTCTCTGGTCTCTCTCTCTGGTCTCTCTGGTCTCTCTCTGGTCTCTCACTGGTCTCTCTCTGGTCTCTCTCTGGTCTCTCTCTGGTCTCTCTCTGGTCTCTCTCTGGTCTCTCTCTGGTCTCTCTCTGGTCTCTCACTGGTCTCTCTCTGGTCTCTCTCTGGTCTCTCTCTGGTCTCTCTCTGGTCTCTCACTGGTCTCTCTCTGGTCTCTCACTGGTCTCTCTCTCTGGTCTCTCTTTGTAGTCTCTCGCTCTGGTCTCTCTCTGGTCTCTCTCTGGTCTCTCTCTGGTCTCTCTCTGGTCTCTCTCTGGTCTCTCTCTGGTCTCTCTCTGGTCTCTCACTGGTCTCTCTCTGGTCTCTCTCTGGTCTCTCTCTGGTCTCTCTCTGGTCTCTCACTGGTCTCTCTCTGGTCTCTCACTGGTCTCTCTCTCTGGTCTCTCTTTGTAGTCTCTCTCTCTGGTCTCTCTTTGTAGTCTCTCGCTCTGGTCTCTCTCTGGTCTCTCTCTGGTCTCTCTCTGGTCTCTCACTGGTCTCTCTCTCTGGTCTCTCTTTGGTCTCTCACTGGTCTCTCTCTCTGGTCTCTCTCTGGTCTCTCTCTGGTCTCTCTCTGGTCTCTCTCTTGTCTCTCTCTGGTCTCTCTCTGGTCTCTCACTGGTCTCTCTCTGGTCTCTCACTGGTCTCTCTCTCTGGTCTCTCACTGGTCTCTCTCAGGTCTCTCTCTGGTCTCTCACTGGTCTCTCTCTGGTCTCTCTCAAAAATAAATGATGATATAATAAAAACACTGACGTAGAAAAGGTTCACGGTGAGTAATGAGAGAGCAGTGAGAGCAGAGAAGGAGATGTCGGCCACAGACTTCCACAGGCGTCATACACAGGTGCTGCTCCAAGATCCATTAGATTTGGCCTCGAGAAATCTGCACAAACAAGATAAAAAGCTCGTAGCTCCTGAGCGCGAGCACCGGCACTTGAGAGGCCATGAAAGTGTGGAAAAGGACGACAGACATAATTGACCTCCTCGTTTAGTTTAGGCCTGAAAAAGTACAAACTTGGAAAGTGAAATATAAGCAAAGGTGGCCATGACCTGGACCAACACTCACCCCACACCACATGTATTATTAAGTATACACACACACACGCACGCACGCACACACACACACAGGCACACACACACACACACACACACACAGACACAGACACACACACAGATGTACACAGACACTCACACACACAGACACACACTCAATCACTCAGACACACACACAGATGTACAGACACACACACTCACTCACTCAGACACACACACAGATGTACACACACAGACACACACTCACTCCCTCAGACACACACACAGATGTACACACACACAGACACACACTCACTCACTCAGACACACACACAGATGTACACACACAGACACACACTCACTCCCTCAGACACACACACAGATGTACACACACACAGACACACACTCACTCCCTCAGACACACACACAGATGTACACACACACAGACACACACTCACTCACTCAGACACACACACAGATGTACACAGACACTCACACACACAGACACACACTCACTCACTCAGACACACACACAGATGTACAGACACACACACTCACTCACTCAGACACACACACAGATGTACACACACAGACACACACTCAATCACTCAGACACACACACAGATGTACACAGACACTCACACACACAGACACACACTCACTCACTCAGACACACACACAGATGTACACAGACACTCACACACACAGACACACACACAGATGTACACAGACACACACACACACAGACACACACACAGATGTACACAGACACTCACACACACAGACACACACACAGATGTACACAGACACTCACACACACAGATGTACACACACACACACACACACACACACACACACTCAGATACACACAAACACACACTCGGACACACACAGACACACACTCACTCCCTCAGACACACACACAGATGTACACAGACACTCACAGACACACACTTACACACATAGACACACACACAGACACAGACACACAGACAAACACACACACACACACACACACACACACACACACACACACACACACACACACACACACACACACACACACACACACACACACACACATACACGTTTTTGTTACCTGGTGGGTCCCTTTGACAGGGCCGTTCAGAATGGGACCCATAGACATAATCTTTTTTTACTGGGACTACTTTAAGTAATACAAAACAGTCAATAGAAACCAAACAACTATTTTAAAGGAATTTTATTTTTGATTTTTTTTTCGAATTGCAGTGATTCTATTTTTGACATAGAATTTAATGCCACTCCATGTCCGATGTCTAAGGTCATCTGGTGAGGCATTAATGCAGGCCAGGCCAGGCCAGGCCAGGCAGTGAGACTTCCCAGGGACCTTTCCAGTCTGTATGAAAGGCGTCATGGTCTTCTCCACAGCCTTCACCTCAGATGCAGACCATGGCTTTCTCTAACGTTCTAGGGAGAGAAATAAAAATATATTAGCAATATACACTCCCAGGGTTAGGACCAGGCAGCCTGGCTGTAATCCCCCACCTGGTACACTTACCAGAAGGGGCACTGCCACTACCATGGGGTGCATCTGGATGAATGGTTGAAGGTTCTCCGCTTGAAGTTTCTTTTAGCCCGTCCGTTTGTGAGAGGATCTCTACTGCTCTCCCTGTCGCACAGAAAATAAAAATACAAGTGGCCTTTAGGGGAAAAAAATCATACATATTTTAATAATATCAAGAATTACCTTCAGGCTCAATTTGTATCTGGTCGAGGCTCTTTCCTTCGAATTCCGTCACTCTTCCCTGCTCCATGGCCATTAACACTTTGCTGATTTTGGCCAGCTCCAGCGCCCCCTCTGGTAGTCTGTAATATTGTCTGTGGATGCGAATGTCATGGCCGAGGAAGTTGGCTAGTATGTCCATTTCATTCTCTTTCATATTGAGAACTGTAGACATAGTAGCTGTGTGCTTTCTAAGTTTGGTTGAGGATAGCATCTCTGGATGCACCGCACCACATTCTTTGGCTACCTGCCGTAGGGAGTCTGATCCCCTGATGTGGGTGTCTGCGCCCGGGCGGGAGAAGAAGTATGGGTTATGGTCAGAGATGGAACAGGCCCTTCTGTTCTCCACCAGCACCTCCATCGAAGCAATCATTTCAGGAGTCAAAAGAACCACCACTTTCCGACTTCTTTTCCCTTTAATTTCAATGCGTTGAAAATGCTGACACAGCTTTTTCTCAAGTTGGGACAGTCCCAGAGCAATGTCAGAATGGATCCCAGTCTTACTTCTTAAGGTAAAGGCTGTCAGTGGCATCTTTGAAACCTCACCTTCCCTTCTTCGATTGAAAATAATGACCTCACAAAGAGTCAAAACTGCCAGTTTAGACCAATGCTTAGACGTTGGCTCACTTATTAGGGTTTGCACATATTCAGGTCGACGTACCTCAATATGTGCATGCATGGCTCTAACGTCCTCAGTCAGAGGGAGCAGGTCCGGAGTGTTCCACTTGGCTTGCCGGAGGGTCTGTAGGGCAGCAGAAGAAACACAGACGTCCCACCTCTTCTCAAAAAGCAGCCGGCTTCGTTGGAGGTTTTTAATAAATAGTTCATCAATACAATGCTCCATTTTTGAGTCACATTCAAGAATATCTGCTAGCTTTCTGAGGCTATGGCCGAGTTTGAGGGCCAAGGATGGAGTCTTGTATTGATTTGTTTCCTCATCATATCCAGCCACAGACCTGACTGCATGAATCACATGGTTAAAGTTGGAAGGAATAAAGAAATCCTTCATTGTTTTCAGTTTCCCTGCGGTTTTTGCTTCGTTAATTAACCTACCGACTTCTCTCATTTTCTGCCTAATGTAATCATGCTTAGTCTTATCATGCCCGTGTTTTAAGTACAGGTGCTCTCCGAGTCTCAAAATCCCCTTTTCTGCTTTGACAACACCCGTGACCTCATCCTGATGCATTGCCCAAATTAAAGACCACAGCTTTTTGCTGATGCCCTCCGGTACAGGCTGGGCTAGGGAGCAGAGGGACTGGACCCTACTTCTACCTGGTTTAGCCTGGGCATCTTTCTGTGAAAGCCGGCACCTGGCCACATGCCTCCACAGCGACTTTCGCTTAAGCAATGCCCCACAGTCTATACAGTGCAAAAACTCACTGGATTTAACTGGGGAATTTGGCTGTTTAGCTGGGACTAAAGTTCCAATGCCGGCCTTTAAAACCTCAACATTGTGCTCACGGTTTCCACTATTCCTGATCAAATCAAACTGAAGTTTACGTGCTTTAGATTTCACAGGTAGAGCCAATGCTCTGGCTACGTCACTTTCATTTCCATGTTTTCTAGTCAAATGACGGGACATTTTGTGGCAGGACATTGAACAGTAGAGGCAGAAGTGTCTCTTGCTGTAAACTCTCCCCCCATTTTTCTTCTTTTGCAGCTGCACACACTGACACAGACACAGTCACAAAGTCATTTTGTCTGATTTCAGGAACTGTTGCTTTATTTCCTCATTCCAAAGGACACATTTCTGTATCTTTTTAAAACAAGATCAGTTTGTTTAGTGTCATTGATGACTCTTATTTAAGGCTCAGTCAGAATGTGCTTAAATTAACACACACTTTGACTTCTTTTTCCTCCCTTTTTGACATTTCCAGTTGGATTTACACATCGCCAGATCGTCCTATTTTTTCCCAACTCACGCGTGTCCATTTGCACCGCTCCCCTTCGAACCTATGATCCCTCCTTTCTCATTTAGTCCGCTCCACGCCGCGCTGCAGGCTCCACGCCGCGCTGCAGGCTCCACGCCGCGCTGCAGGCTCCACGCCGCGCTGCAGGCTCCACGCCGCGCTGCAGGCTCCACGCCGCGCTGCAGGCTCCACGCCGCGCTGCAGGCTCCACGCCACCATTTCCTCCACCGACTGAATTAAAAACCACTCTGCGTGTTAGACGTGCTCCCGCTGGTTTAATGAGAATGTTCACCTGAATATCACAGGTATTATTGACGCTCCCAGCTGTGTCTGCATCTGCCCTGGTGAGGGGGGGAGGGAGGGGGAGGGAGGGGGAGGAGGGGGAGACCAGCGGACCACCTCTGCTTATCTTAAACAGAATGAAAAAGCAGCGAGGACCAGTGGAAAAGGAGCTGGAAGTGTGAACAAAAGCTGAAGCACAGAAAAGACACTGATAATATAACACTGGTATAACAAGACAGTTACTTTTAGTTGCTTGTGGCTTTTGTCTCTCACTGGTCTCTCTCTTTGGTCTCTCTCTTTGGTCTCTCTCTTTGGTCTCTCTCTGGTCTATCTCTGGTCTCTCTCTTTGGTCTCTCTCTTTGGTCTCTCTCTTTGGTCTCTCTCTGGTCTCTCTCTTTGGTCTCTCTCTTTGGTCTCTCTCTTTGGTCTCTCTCTTTGGTCTCTCTCTGGTCTATCTTTGGTCTCTCTCTGGTCTATCTCTGGTCTTTCTCTCTGGTCTCGTTCTGGTCTCTCTCTGGTCTCTCTCTGGTCTCTCTCTTTGGTCTCTCTCTGGTCTCTCTCTGGTCTTTCTCTCTGGTCTCGTTCTGGTCTCTCTCTGGTCTCTCTCTGGTCTCTCTCTGGTCTCTCTCTGGTCTCTCTCTGGTCTCTCTCTGGTCTCTCTCTCTGGTCTCGTTCTGGTCTCTCTCTGGTCTCTCTCTGGTCTCGTTCTGGTCTCTCTCTGGTCTCGTTCTGGTCTCTCTCTGGTCTCGTCGTGGTCTCTCTCTGGTCTCGTTCTGGTCTCTCTCTGGTCTCTCTCTGGTCTCTCTCTGGTCTCTCTCTGTTCTCGTTCTGGTCTCTCTCTGGTCTCTCTCTTTGGTCTCTCTCTTTGGTCTCTCTCTTTGGTCTCTCTCTTTGGTCTCTCTCTGGTCTATCTTTGGTCTCTCTCTGGTCTATCTTTGGTCTCTCTCTGGTCTATCTCTGGTCTGTCTCTCTCTTTCATCTATCTCACTGGTCTCTCTCTGGTCTCTCTCTTTGGTCTCTCTCTGGTCTCTCTCTGGTCTTTCTCTCTGGTCTCGTTCTGGTCTCTCTCTGGTCTCTCTCTGGTCTCTCTCTGGTCTCTCTCTGGTCTCTCTCTCTGGTCTCGTTCTGGTCTCTCTCTGGTCTCTCTCTGGTCTCTCTCTGGTCTCGTTCTGGTCTCTCTCTGGTCTCTCTCTGGTCTCTCTCTTTGGTCTCTCTCTTTGGTCTCTCTCTGGTCTCTCTCTGGTCTCTCTCTCTCTCTCTCTCGTCTATCTCACTGGACTCTCTCTGGTCTCTCTCTCTGGTCTCTCTCTCTGGTCTCGTTCTGGTCTCTCTCTGGTCTCTCTGGTCTCTCTCACTGGTCTCGTTCTGGTCTCTCTCTGGTCTCGTTCTGGTCTCTCTCTGGTCTCTCTCTGTGGTTTCTCTCTGGTGTTTGTCTGGTTTCTCTCACTTTTCAGAGTTCATCTTGGGATTTCAGAAACACATTCCAGTATTGAGATATAATCCAGAAATGTCTTTAGCAAAAAAAAAAAAAAGAAATCATCAACGACATAACAAGTTTCTTCTTCAGACTTTGCAAAAACGACGATGGCCCTGAACATATCAAATGCTCGTGTTCCTTTTCTTCTCGGCGAAACCATGGACTTTGAGGAGATTCATGCAGTATTTTCTATTTTATAACAACTGTTTTCGTAAACGCGTCGGCAGCCTCGTAGCTGTTTAGCGGTTGCCAGATTGACTCTTCCTGTCGTGCTCTCATGATGTCGTATGTTCAAATGATTGACAGATCTATCAGCCTATCACAAGAGCTTTCAAACAAGGGGCGGGACTTGGTTTTTTCCCCAGACAGAGACACGTGCGGAGGAAAAACACACAGCAAAAGACAAAGTATTTAAGAACCAAAACACAAACATTTGTTTTTTTTTTGGTGAGGATCTAAAATTTGAGTAAATTAGTTTAAAACAGAATGGCGCTAGTTTTTGTAAAATGGCAACTGCATCAAACTATAAAACCTACAGTCTGAAACTATAGACAGTTTTTGCCGACTAAAAAATGACCATAAGTTTTGAATATTGTGAGCTTACAATGAAGTCTGTCTTTTGAGGGATTTTATACATTTTATATTTTTGACAAGGCTAAAAAAAACTGGGACCAACTTTAGTGCATGAGCCAAAATGAAGCGTGTCAACAAATAGCTGCTACTGAGAAAGATGGATATTTAGTTGTTATTGTTGTTTTAATAAGTAGAATAAGGCTCTCTCCACTACTTAAGAAAGTAGAGGGTTGGACAGAAGGGTTGGGGGGATGTGCTCGTTCTTATGGATGCCAGAAGTTGCACAAATGGTCTGTTTTTAACGAGGAAAAGTCTGTTTTAACCTGACTCTCGTTTGCACCGTGTGTCCTTCACAATAACTTTTCAGGGCAATAAAAAGTAAGAATTGGCTGCTTCAAAGTCTGGGTTTTTAAATTCAAATGGATATAATGTCAATATTTGCCGGTGCAGCCTCGGTGGGTGTCGGCGCGGAATAGAAAGTGAAATGATTTGGACAGAGGAGAGAGGCTCAGGAGCAGAGATGAATAATTGAAGTGTGGAAGTGAGCACAAAGCAAACAGCTGTTCAAAGGCTGCATCCGTCTGCAGCTCACGGCCAGCGCACTCTGTATTTAGAGCTGATCTCTCTCCGTCTGCGGCTAACCGGCCTCTATCAGTGCCTCTCATTAAAGCTGGGGGACCTAAAGCTTCCCAACCACTGCTATGGAACTGTGTGAAAAAATCCATTTCTATCGTGTGGCCTTAGTCCTTGTTCTACAGTCTGAGTCTTATATCTATGGCTCTGGTGTCATTTATTTAAAAACATAGAGCTGGTTGAGTATAAAAGTGGAATAAAAGTTGTTTTTACCGCACTGTGTTTGCCTAGCCTGGTCTAACTCCACCATGGTACTCATTTCATTTGTACTAAGGTCTGGATTTGCTCCGTTGTCTCCGTGAACAGGTGGGAGGGGTTAACTCCTTTTGCAGATTGAAACGATTGGATCTGAGTTTACTGTGACGTATGTAATGAGCCTGAGTGAGTGAGGCATGTAGCATTTAGCCTAGCTTTAGCATGTAGCCTAGCTTTAGCCATCTCCTTTGCCACTAACGGAGCGAGTGGGGAGTAGAGCCACGACATCTTTGCTTCAATGACATTTACTAAACATTCTTCTTGCTCCGGCTTCAGTTTCTTGATATTTGGATTGAACCAGAACAGATTATTTTACTATCGCATTCTCCGACAAACTACAACCAGCAAATTCAGCACAAACTCTTGACGTCACCGACACCGACCTACAACACCCGCCTCCCCCGCTCTCTGATTGGTCGGAGGAGATTCAACCGAGGAAACTGCAGCCAATAGGATCAGACCCAGACGTACATGTAGGAAATGACCATGGACCAGAGTTTACACATGGTATGACCAGACGTACATGTAGGAAATGATCATGGACCAGAGTTTACACATGGTAAGACCAGACGTACATGTAGGAAATGACCATGGACCAGAGTTTACACATGGTAAGACCAGACGTACATGTAGGAAATGATCATGGACCAGAGTTTACACATGGTAAGACCAGACGTACATGTAGGAAATGATCATGGACCAGAGTTTACACATGGTAAGACCAGACGTACATGTAGGAAATGACCATGGACCAGAGTTTACACATGGTAAGACCAGATGTACATGTAGGAAATGATCATGGACCAGAGTTTACACATGGTAAGACCAGACGTACATGTAGGAAATGACCATGGACCAGAGTTTACACATGGTAAGACCAGACGTACATGTAGGAAATGATCATGGACCAGAGTTTACACATGGTAAGACCAGACGTACATGTAGGAAATGATCATGGACCAGAGTTTACACATGGTAAGACCAGACGTACATGTAGGAAATGATCATGGACCAGAGTTTACACATGGTAAGACCAAACGTACATGTAGGAAATGACCATGGACCAGAGTTTACACATGGTAAGACCAGACGTACATGTAGGAAATGATCATGGACCAGAGTTTACACATGGTAAGACCAGACGTACATGTAGGAAATGATCATGGACCAGAGTTTACACATGGTAAGACCAGACGAACATGTAGGAAATGATCATGGACCAGAGTTTACACATGGTAAGACCAGACGTACATGTAGGAAATGACCATGGACCAGAGTTTACACATGGTAAGACCAGACGTACATGTAGGAGATGATCATGGACCAGAGTTTACACATGGTAAGACCAGACGTACATGTAGGAAATGACCATGGACCAGAGTTTACACATGGTAAGACCAGACGTACATGTAGGAAATGATAAAGGACTGGAGTTTAGGATGGATAAGACCAGGCCCGGTGTGTCCTGGTCCCGGTGTGTCCTGGTCCCGGTGTGTCCTGGTCCCGGTGTGTCCTGGTGTGTGTTCTTTGAGCTGACATGTTGTTTTGCTGGTACGCCTGTGTCTGAGTTATTCATGTATTCAGTGTTTGAAGCACTTTCATGATTAGAGCGCTCCATACGCTGCTCTGTGATAATGACAGCGTTTATATTTTGCTTTCAACTTCCGGCTCCTCGTCTGCTCTTCAGTTTATCCTCTCACTGAAGCTGCAAAACTGACCCTTTTCACTTTTTAACCATGTTTCAAAGCAGACCTCACACATTTCTCTGTGTTGAATCTGTCTGATTTGTTCTTATAGAGATAGACAGAGTGCACTGCAAAAAATAGTCTGACGTAATAATAACTTGGAGGGTCTCTCTGTGGCCTGGGAACGTCTTGGGGTCCCCCAGATGAGCTGGAGGAAGTGTGTGTCTCTGCCCAGACTGCTGCCCTCGCAACCCGGCAACGGATGAAGCGGAAGAAGGAGGAGGAGTTGGAGGAGGAGGTAGAGGAGGAGGAGGAGGAAGGGGAGGTGGCTCATTTTTCAGAAAAGTGTACTTATCTGGCATTTTGTGCGCCGACACATCCACAGACCAGTGAACAATGGCATGTTATACTTCATTTTAAACCCCGTTATCTCAGGAAAACAAACCCGCAACGGATGAAGCGGAAGAAAATGGATGAATGAATTGAGCACATTAAGTCTTACTTCACGAACAGTTGCTTTATTGTCTAATTCTAATCTAAGGGAGACATTTCTGTATCTTTTTGAATCCAGATAATTTTGTTTTGTACCGTTGGTGAATCTGGTTTTAACCCTCTCCGGCCCAATACATTTGAATAACAAGAACAAACTGATATTTGGGTAAAATCATACTTTGTGTTTGTAATAAACAATCCTGACTTTTTTGAAAGACCTTAACAGATAATGCATCCTGGGATTTTGCAGATTTGCAACATTGGCCAGAGGATAAATAATCTACTAATTGGCCTGGACTGTATCTGTAAATATTCATCTTTCATTGTTTCAGTTTTGGTTTCACATTATTAGAGGTTGGTTGTGATTCTGACTTGAACATGATGCCTAGAGAATCCTTAACAATATGGATGTGAAGTAGATAGTTAGAAAGAAATTAAGTTGTTGCAAATCTGCAACGCCTGCCTGGAGAGTGTTAAGGCAGTCAGAATGTGCTCTAATTACCATACATTTTGCCAGATTTTAGCACATTTTGAATGATTTCTAACCACTTTTTTCCATGTAGAGGTCTTTTCTTCTCTCTTTCAAACCAGTTATTTTTCTCCAAATTAGCTCTGCACATTTTTAAGGAAATAGGTTCATTACAAAGAGTGTTCACTGCAATTTTGTAAAGTCCTCCGTGACGACTGCTGCTGTGATTTAAGGCCATACACAAATAAAGTGAATAGATGTTGCTGTTTCCTCAGAGAGCTGCCCGCCCCGGTGTGTTTGTGGTACAGAGGTCCCAGACGAGCGCTCTCATTAGTATTCGAGGGCGGACCGAGAGGGACTTTAGGTTTAGCAAGACCAGAGGCTCCCACTGCGGACTCTGTGTGTGTGTGTGTGTGTGTGTGTGAGAATCTCTCTAGTCTCTCTCTGGTCTCTCTCTGGTCTCTCTCTGCTCTCTCTGGTCTCTCTCTGGTCTCTCTCTGGTCTCTCTCTGGTCTCTCTCTGCTCTCTCTGGTCTCTCTCTGGTCTCTCTCTGGTGTCTCTCTGCTCTCTCTGGTCTCTCTCTGGTCTCTCTCTGGTCTCTCTCTGCTCTCTCTGGTCTCTCTCTGGTGTCTCTCTGGTGTCTCTCTGGTCTCTCTCTGGTCTCTCTCTGCTCTCTCTCTGTCTCTCTCTGGTCTCTCTCTGGTCTCTCTCTGGTCTCTCTCTGGTCTCTCTCTGCTCTCTCTGGTCTCTCTCTGCTCTCTCTCTGCTCTCTCTGGTGTCTCTCTGGTCTCTCTCTGGTCTCTCTCTGGTCTCTCTCTGGTCTCTCTCTGCTCTCTCTGGTCTCTCTCTGCTCTCTCTCTGCTCTCTCTGGTCTCTCTCTGTTCTCTCTCTGGTCTGTTAGACATTGTTGTATGGGAGATCAGGCTTCTCACAGCCTTTATGCATGCTCTACACTACATAAAATTATAAGATAGTCCCATCAGATTTATAGACACAATATTGTAGATGTGTAGACACAGATGGGAGTCACAATAACATCCTACTACCGTCAGAATCTCCGCGTTTTCCGGTCAGATGTGTATTATTCAGTCGTACTTTTGAATCAGGGATTAGTGATTTGTGTTGAAAGGCTGTGGACTGAAACACGGCGAAGTGAAAGTAGCTCAACACATTGTCGTGTGGTTGAATAGCGATGACCTAAAGCGACCGGATGAAAAACCCTCAAGACGGAATGTGGAAAGTGTTCAAACTCCGACTGCAGTGAGGATAATGTGGCTTTTCTGTGGCAGCGGTTTCCATGGAGACGCTGTGTTTAAGTCTGGAATCTTCAAGAACAATATCAAAGTTATTTTTCTGAGTACAGGTGTTTTTTTTATCTGCGATGACCTTGGATGGACATGTTTTTGTGTTTTTATGTAAAAATGTGGCCAAGAGTGGTACTGCAGCCTCTCCCACTCTCCCTGACTCCCAGACGAATCCAGCTGGGACCATAACAGCTGAATAGACAAGAGTTTAGTCAACAACAAATCTATAACCAACACCTTTTTCACAAAGATAGAAATCCTGGTTTTATTCCTTGTTTTGTCGTTAATGATTTGAGAATCATAACGAGACCTTTTTTAGTTCTGCGCCACATGGTACTTTACCAGTGAGATTAGCTCCACGCGGTGAGTTCTGGCGCCCGGATCATAGACTTTCTGATTGGTGAAACGGTGGAGGGCGGGACATCAAAATGAAAACAATAACAAGATTTAGGGACTGGAAAAGTAATTTAGAAATTCAAATATCTCTGAACTACTGTTATCAGTTAAAGAAGTATTGGAAAAGAGCAGTTTATTATTATGACAGATTAAGGCCCTTTAATGATGACAGATTAGGGCCCTTTAATGATGACAGATAAGGGCCCTTTAATGATGACAGATTAGGGCCCTTTAATGAGGACAGATTAGGGCCCTTTAATGAGGACAGATTAGGGCCCTTTAATGATGACAGATTAGGACCCTTTAATTATGACATATTGGTGCCCTTTAATGGCTGGTGCTATGTGTACTGGGTGCAGCTCTGACTTGCCACCCCCCTGACCCAGAAATGGATTAAGGGGAAGAAAATGGATGGATGGATGGATGGATGGTGCCCTTTAATGATGACAGATTAGGGCCCTTTATTGATGACAGATTAGGACCCTTTAATGATAACTAGACATCTTACATATTGCTACTTTAAGACCATTGTATTTAGAGAAGGCGAGAAGAACAGGGATGTAAAGGGACTGGATACTGGTCTGAAAGGACTGGACACTGGTCTGAAGGGACTGGACACTGGTTTGAAGGGACTGGATACTGGTCTGAAGGGACTGGACACGGGTCTGAAGGGACTGGACACTGGTCTGAAGGGACTGGATACTGGTCTGAAGGGACTGGACACGGGTCTGAAGGGACTGGATACTGGTCTGAAGGGACTGGATACTGGTCTGAAGGGACTGGACACTGTTCTGAAGGGACTGGACACTGGTCTGAATGGACTGGACACTGGTCTGAAGGGACTGGACACGGGTCTGAAGGGACTGGACACTGGTCTGAAGGGACTGGACACTGGTCTGAAGGGACTGGACACTGGTCTGAAGGGACTGGACACTGGTCTGAAGGGACTGGACACGGGTCTGAAGGGACTGGACACTGGTCTGAAGGCACTGGACACTGGTCTGAAGGCACTGGACACTGGTCTAAAGGGACTGGTCTGTAGTTGGTCTGGTCTGGTCTGGTCTGGTGCAGGTGAAGCGTGACTGTTTTCTGAGGATCAGAGTCAATGTATGCGTCCTCACGTCTCTAATATGTCACTGTGGTTAATGTGTTCGGGACCCAGGAGGAGGAGGGGGAGGAGGAGGAGGAGGAAGAGGAGGAGGAGGAGGAAGAGGAGGAGGAAGGGTAGGAGGAGGAAGGGAAAGGGGAGGAGGAGGAAGAGGAGGAGGAGGAGGAAGGGGTGGAGGTGGAGGAGGAGGAGTTGGAGGAGGAAGAAGGGAGGAGGAGTTGGAGGAGGTAGAGGAGGAGGAGGAGGAAGGGGAGGTGGCTCATTTTTCAGAAAAGTGTACTTATCTGGCATTTTGTGCGCCGACACATCCACAGACCAGTGAACAATGGCATGTTATACTTCATTTTAAACCCCGTTATCTCAGGAAAACAACCATATAATTAAATCTGGTCTAAAATGTTCATTAACATCTCATTAGAAAGGACTGGACAAGTGACTTAAAGGTGTGTAGGAGGATTTTCTACTGCTGGGTGGATCATCAAGACTATGGGTCCTCCCAACTGTCAATCATTCTGGTGCTCGTCCAATGAGAGCAGAGAGTGGAGAGGGCGGTTCTGTCCTATAATTTGGGAAAATCCTCTTTAATTATAACTCAGTCTTTTAATACGTCTCTTGTTGATGTTTGGGCAGAAAATAATCCTCTTTCATAATTCTGGCCCAAACCAGTTCTTCTCTCGTACATTTTCAAATAACCATTGTCTCTCTTCATCCTCCTCTTCCTCTGCTTCATCCTCCTCCTCCTCTGCTTCATCTCCCTCCTCCTCCTCTGCTTCATCCTCCTCCTCCTCCTCTGCTTCATCTCCCTTCTCCTCTGCTTCATCTCCCTCCTCTTCCTCTGCTTCATCTCCCTCCTCCTCCTCTGCTTCATCCTCCTCCTCCTCCTCTGCTTCATCTCCCTTCTCCTCTGCTTCATCTCCCTCCTCTTCCTCTGCTTCATCTCCCTCCTCCTCTGCTTCATCCTCCTCCTTCTCCTCTGCTTCATCTCCCTCCTCTTCCTCTGCTTCATCTCCCTCCTCTTCCTCTGCTTCATCTCCCTCCTCTTCCTCTGCTTCATCTCCCTCCTCTTCCTCTGCTTCATCTCCCTCCTCCTCTGCTTCATCCTCCTCTCTCCTCTGCTTCATCTCCCTCCTCCTCCTCTGCTTCATCTCCCTCCTCCTCCTCTGCTTCATCCTCCTCCTCCTCTGCTTCATCTCCCTCCTCCTCCTCTGCTTCATCTCCCTCCTCCTCCTCTGCTTCATCCTCCTCCTCCTCCTCTTCATCCTCCTCCTCTGCTTCATCTCCCTCCTCCTCCTCTGCTTCATCTCCCTCCTCTTCCTCTGCTTCATCTCCCTCCTCCTCCTCTGCTTCATCTCCCTCCTCCGCCTCTGCTTCATCTCCCTCCTCCTCCTCTGCTTCATCTCCCTCCTCCTCCTCTGCTTCATCTCCCTCCTCCTCCTCTTCATCTCCCTCCTCCTCCTCTTCATCTCCCTCCTCCTCCTCTTCATCTCCCTCCTCCTCCTCTGCTTCATCTCCCTCCTCCTCCTCTGCTTCATCTCCCTTCTCCTCCTCTGCTTCATCTCCCTCCTCCTCCTGCTTCATCTCCCTCCTCCTCCTCTCTTCACTCTCCCTCCTCCTCCTCTGCTTCATCTCCCTCCTCCTCCTCTGCTTCATCTCCCTCTCCTCCTCTGCTTCATCTCCCTCCTCCTCCTCTGCTTCATCTCCCTCCTCCTCCTCTGCTTCATCTCCCTCCTCCTCCTCTGCTTCATCTCCCTCCTCCTCCTCTGCTTCATCTCCCTCCTCCTCCTCTGCTTCATCTCCCTCCTCCTCCTCCTCTGCTTCATCTCCCTCCTCCTCCTCTGCTTCATCTCCTCCTCCTCCTCTGCTTCATCTCCCTCCTCCTCCTCTGCTTCATCTCCCTCCTCCTCCTCTGCTTCATCTCCCTTCTCCTCCTCTGCTTCATCTCCTCCTCCTCCTCTGCTTCATCTCCCTTCTCCTCCTCTGCTTCATCTCCCTCCTCCTCCTCTGCTTCATCTCCCTCCTCCTCCTCTGCTTCATCTCCCTCCTCCTCCTCTGCTTCATCTCCCTCCTCCTCTGCTTCATCTCCCTTCTCCTCCTCTGCTTCATCTCCCTCCTCCTCCTCTGCTTCATCTCCCTTCTCCTCCTCTGCTTCATCTCCTCCTCCTCCTCTGCTTCATCTCCCCTCCTCCTCTGCTTCATCTCCCTCCTCCTCCTCTGCTTCATCTCCCCTCCTCCTCTCTTCATCTCCCTCCTCCTCCTCTGCTTCATCTCCCTCCTCCTCCTCGCTTCATCTCCTCCTTTCTCATGCTCATCTCCCTCCTCCTCTGCTCTTCATCTCTCCCTCTCCTCCTCTGCTTCATCTCCCTCCTCCTCCTCTGCTTCATCTCCCTCCTCTCTCCTCTCTCCTCTCCCCCTCTCTCCTCTCCTCATCTCCCTCCTCTCCTCTGCTTCAATCTCCCTCCTCCTCCTCTGCTTCATCTCCCTCCTCCTCCTCTGCTTTCATCTCCCTCCTCCTCCTCTGCTTCATCTCCCTCCTCCTCCTCTGCTTCATCTCCCTCCTCCTCCTCTCGCTTCATCTCCCTCCTCCTCCTCTGCTTCATCTCCCTCCTCCTCCTCTGCTTCATCTCCCCCTCCTCCTCTGCTTCATCTCCCTCCTCCTTGCTTCATCTCCCTCCTCTCCTCCTCTGCTTCATCTCCCTCCTCCTCCTCTGCTTCATCTCCCTCTCTTTCTCCTCCTCTGCTTCATCTCCCTCCTCCTCCTCTGCTTCATCTCCCTCCTCCTCCTCTGCTTCATCTCCCTCCTCCTCCTCCAAACTCTCCATCCTCGCTCTCTTCACTCCCTCCCTCCTCCTCTGCTTCATCTCCTCCTCCTCCTCTGCCTTTCATCTCCACCTCCTCCTCTTCTCTCATCTCCTCTCCTCTCATCTCCTCTCCTCCTCTTCATCTCCCTCCTCCTCCTGCTTCATCTCCTCCCTCCTCCTCTGCTTCATCTCCCTCCTCCTCCTACCTGCGTCATCTCTCCTCCCCTCCTCTGCTTCATCTCCCCTCCTCCTCCTCTGCTTCATCTCCCTCCTCCTCCTCTGCTTCATCTCCCTCCTCCTCCTCTCTTCATCCTCCTCCCTCCTCCTCTCCTCTGCTCATCCTCCTCCTCTCTGCTTCATCCCTCCTCCTCCTCTGCTTCATCTCCCTCCTCCTCCTCTGCTTTCATCCTCCTCCTCTGCTTCCTCCTCCTCCTCTGCTTCATCTCCCTCTCCTCCTCTGCTTCATCTCCCTCCTCCTCTGACTTCTTCTCCCTCTCCTCTCTCTGCTGATCCTCCCTCCTCCTCTGCTTCATCTCCCTCCTCCTCCTCTGCTTCATCTCCCTCCTCCTCCTCTGCTTCTTCATCTCCCTCCTCCTCCTCTGCTCCTCATCTGCTCCTCCTCCTCTGCTTCATCTCCCTCCTCCTCCTCTGCTTCATCTCCTCCTCCTCCTCTGCTTCATCTCCCTCCTCCTCCTGCGGTTCATCACTCCTCCTCTCTCTGCTTCATCCTCCTCTCCTCTGCTTCATCTCCCTCCTCCTCCTCTGCTTCATCTCCCTCCTCCTCCTCTGCTTCATCTCCCTCCTCCTCCTCTGCTTCATCCTCCCTCTCCTCCTCTGCTTCATCTCCCTCCTCCTCCTCTGCTTCATCTCCCTCCTCCTCCTCTGCTTCATCTCCCTCCTCCTCCTCTGCTTCATCTCCCTCCTCCTCCTGCTTCATCTCCCTTCTCCTCTCTGCTTCAGCCTCCTCTCCTCTGGCTTCATCTCCCTCCTCCTCCTCTGCTTCATCTCCTCCTCCTCCTCCTTCTGCTTCATCTCCCTCCTCCTCCTCTGCTTCATCTCCTCCTCCTCCTCTGCTTCCTCTCCCTCCTCTTTTCCTCTGCTTCATCTCCCTCCTCCTCCTCTGCTTCATCTCCCTCCTCCTCCTCTGCTTCATCTCCCTCCTCCTCCTCTGCTTCATCCTCCCTCTCCTCCTCTGCTTCATCCTCCCTCCTCCTCCTCTGCTTCATCTCCCTTCTCCTCCTCTGCTTCATCTCCCTCCTCTCACTCTCTCCTCCCTCTCCTCTTCATCCTCTCCTCTCATCTCCCTCCTCCTCTCCTCTGACTCTCCTCCTCCTCCTCTGCTTCATCTCCTCCTCCTCCTCCTCTGCTTCATCTCCCATCCTCCCTCTTCATCCTCCTCCTCTGCTTCATCTTCCCCCCCCTCCTCCTCCTCTGCTTCATCTCCCTCCTCCTCCTCTGCTTCATCTCCCTCCTCCTCCTCTGCTTCATCTCCCTCCTCCTCCTCTGCTTCATCTCCCTCCTCCTCTGCTTCATCTCCCTCCTCCTCCTGCTCAATCTCATCTCCTCTTCCTCTATTCATCTGCTTCTCCTCCTCTGCTTCAATCTCCTCATCCTCTGCCTTCATCTCCCTCCTCCTCCTCTGCTTCATCTCCTCCCTCCTCCTCCTCTGCTTCATCTCCCTACCTCCTCCTCGCTTCATCTCCCTCTCCTCCTCTGCTTCATCTCCCTCCTCCTCCTCCTGCTTCATCCCTCCTCCTCCTCTCTGCTCCCATCTCCCTCCTCTCCTCTCTCTCATCCTCCTCCTCTGCTTCATCTCCCACCTCTCCTCTTCTCAGCTCCTCCTCTTCCATCTGCTTCCTCTCCCTCCTACTCCTCTGCTTCATCACCCTCCTCTCCTCTGCTTCATCTCCCTCCTCCTCCTCTCTTCACACCCTCCCCTCAACTCTCTCTTCATCTCCCTCCTCTCTCCTCTGCTTCAACTCATCCTTCTCCTCCTCCTCTTTCATCCTCCTCCTGCTTCTTCTCCTCCTCCTCTCCTGCTCTCCCTCCTCCTCCTCTCTCTCTCCTCTCTCCTCTCCTCTCCTCTCTCTCTCCTCTCCTCCTCCTCTCTCTCTCTCCTCTCCTCTCTCCTCTCCTTCTCTCTCCTCCTCTCTCCTCTCTCTCTCCTCCTCTCCTCTCTCCTCTCCTCCTCTCCTCTCCTCTCTCCTCCTCCTCCTCTCTCTCTCCTCTCCTCCTCTCCCTCCTCCTCCTCTCCTCTCTCTCCTCTCCTCTCCCTCTCTCTCCTCCTCTTCTCCTCTCCTCCTCCTCCTCTCCCTCTCTCTCCTCCTCTCTCCCTCTCTCTCCTCTCCTCCTCTCCTCTCTCTCCTCCTCTCCTCTCTCTCTCTCCCTCCTCTCTCCTCTCTCTCTCCTCCTCTCCTTCTCTCTCCTCTCCCTCCTCTCCTCTCTCTCCTCTCCTCTCCTCTCTCTCCTCTCCTCCTCTCTCCTCTCTCTCTCCTCCTCTCCTCTCCTCTCTCCCTCCTCCTCCTCTGCTCTCTCTCCCTCCTCCTCCTCTCTCTCTCCCTCCTCTCCTCTCTCCTCTCCCTCTCCTCTCCTCCTCCTCTCCTCTCCTCCTCCTCCTCTTCTCTCCTCTCCTCCTCTCCTCTCTCTCTCCTCTCTCCTCCTCTCCTCTCCTCTGCCTCCTCTCCCTCCTCCTCCTCTGCTTCATCTCCCTCCTCCTCTCCTCTCTCTCTCCTCTCTCCTCCTCTCTCTCCTCTCCCCTCTCCTCCTCTCTCCTCTCTCCCTCCTCCTCCTCTCTCCTCTCCCTCCTCTCCTCCTCTCTCCTCCTCTCTCCCTCTCTCTCCTCCTCCTCTCCTCTCTCTCCTCCTCCTCTCCTGCCTCTCTCTCCTCCTCCTCTGCTCTCATCTCTCCTCCTCCTCTCTCCTCTCCTTCTCTCCTCCTCTCTCCTCCTCTCCTCCTCATCTCTCCTCCTCCTCTCTCTCTCCTCCTCCTCTCTCTCTCCCTCCTCCTCCTCTGCTTCATCTCCCTCCTCCTCCTGCTTCATCTCCCTCTCCTCCTCCTCTCTCCCTCCTCCTCCTCCTCTCTCCTCCTCTCCTCTCCTCCCTCCTCTCCTCTCTCTCCCTCCTCCTCCTCTCTTCATCTCCTCCTCCTCCTCCTCCTTCATCTCCCTCCTCCTCCTCCTGCTTCATCACCCTCCTCCTCTCTTCTCTCTCCTCTCTCTCCTCTCTCATCTCCCTCCTCTCCTCTCTCTCTCCTCCTCCTCTCCTCCCTCCTCTCCTCTTCATCTCCTCCTCCTCCTCTCTTCATCTCCCTCTCCTCCTCCTGCTTCATCGCCTCCTCCTCTGCTTCATCTCCCTCTCCTCTCCTCTGCCTTCTCCTCCTCCTCTCTCCTCTGCTCTCCTCCCCTCCTCCTCTCTTCATCTCCCTCCTCCTCCTCTGCTTCATCCTCCTCTCCTCATCTTCATCTCCTCTCCTCTTCCTCCTCCTTCTCTCTTCATCCTCCTCCTCTGCTCATCTCACTCTCCTTCCTCCTCCTCCTCTGCTTCATCTCTCCTCTCTCCTCCTTCTTCTTCTCCTCCTCTCTCCTCCTCTGCTTCATCTCCCTCCCTCCTCCTCTGCTTCATCTCCCTCCTCTCTCCCTCTCTCTCTCCTCTGCTTCATCTCCCCATCCTCCTCCTCTGCTCTCATCATCCCTCTCTCCTCCTCTGCTTCATCTCGTCCATCACATCTCATCTAATCTCCCTTCGTCTCGCCGTACCCTCTCTGCTTTTCAATCAATAATAAACTCCTTAAAATCCCCATGGTCATTCCTAAATGTACGTCCTGGTCTACCCATGTGTAAACTCTGGTCCATGATCATTTCCTTCCTCCTATCAATGTACGTCTGGTCATACCATGTGTAAACGTCTGGCCCCATGGCCATTTCCTACATGTACGTCTGGGTCTGAATCCTATTGGCTGCAGTTTCCCTCGGTTGAATCTCCTCCGACCCAATCAGAGAGCGGGGAGGCGGGTGTGTTAGGTGATTCGGTGTCGTGACGTCAAGAGGTTTTGTGCTGAATTTGCTGGTTGTAATTTGGTCGGAGAATGGCGATAGTAAAATAATTTCTGTTCTGGTTCAATACCAAATATCAAGAAACTGAACACGGAGGCAAGAAGAATGTTTTAGTAAATGTCTATTGAAGCAAAGATGTCGTGGCCTACTTCCCCCACTTAACTCGCCTCCGTTAGTGGCCAAAGGAGATGGCTAAGCTAGGCTACATGCTAAAGCTACTAAATGCTACAGCCTCACTCACTCGGGCTCAATTACATACGTCACAAGATAAACTCAGATCCAATGGTTTCAATCTGCAAAAGAGTTAGCCGCCTCCCACCTGTTCACCGGAGACAACACGGAGTACAAATCCGACCTTATACAAATGAAAATGAGTACCCTGGTGGAGTTAGACTCAGGCTAGAGCAAACACAGTGCCGGTAAAAACAACTTTATTCCCACTTTTATAACTCAACCACTCGTATGTGTTTAAATAAATGACACAAGCCAAAGATATAAGACTCAGACTGAAACAAGGACTAAAGGCCACACGATAGAAATGGATTTTTTCACGACAGTTTCCATAGCAGTGTTGGGAAAGCTTATAGGTCCCCCAACTTTAATATGAGAGCACTGATAAGGCCGTTTAGCCGCAGACGAGAGAGATCAGCCATAAATACAGAGTGCGCCTGGCCGTGAGCTGGCAGAACGAGATGCAGCCTTTTGAACAGCTGTTTGCTTTTGTTAGCTCACTTCCCACTCTTCAATTATTCAATCTCTGGCTCCTGAGCTGAGCCTCTCTCCTCTGTCCAAATCATTTCACTTTCTATTCCCGCCGCCGACACCGCACCGAGGCTGCACCGCAAATATTGACATTATAATCCATTCTGAAAATTTATAAACCAGACTTTGAAGCAGCCAATACTTACTTTTTATTGGCCCTGAAAAGTTATTGTGAAGGACACACGGTGCAAACGAGATCAGGTTAAAACAGACTTTTCCTCTTTAAAAAACAGACCATTGGTGCACTTCTGGCATCCATAAGAACCGAGCACATCCCCCCAACCCTTCTGTCCACCCACTACAAGCTTTAAGTAGTGGAGAGAGGCCTTATTCTACTTATTAAAACAACAAAACAACTAAATATTCCATCTTTTCTACAGTAGCAGCTGTATTGTTGACACCGCCTCATTTTGGCTCATGCACGAAAGTTGGTCCCAGTTTTTTTAGAAGCCTTGTCAAAAATATAAAATTTATAAAAATTCCCTCAAAAGACAGACTTCATTGTAAGCTCACAATATTTCAAAACATATGGTCATTTTTAAGTTCGGCCAAAAACTGTCTATTAGTTTCCAGACTGTAGGTTATATCAGTTTGAAATGCAGTTGCCCATTTTTACTAACAAAACTAGCGCCATTCGTTTTAAAACTAATTACACTCAAATTTTAAGATCCTCACCAAAAAATAAACAAATGTTTGTGTTTTTGGTTCTTAAATAATCTTGGTCATTTGCTGTGTGTTTTTTTTTCCCCTCCGCAACGTGTCTCTGTCTTGGGGAAAAAACCAAGTCCCCGCCCCTTGTTGAAAGCTCTTGGATAGGCTGATAGATCTGTTCAATCATTTTGAACATACGACATTCATGAGAGCACTGACAGAAGAGTCATCTGGCAACCGCTAAACAGCTACGAGCTGCCGACCCACCGAGGACATCTTTTCAACGAAAACAGGTTGTATACATAAAAAAGAAAATACTGCATGAATCACCTCAAAAGTCCAATGGATTTTTCGCCGAGAAGAAAAGACGCCGAGCATTTGATATGTTCAGGCCATCGGCGATTTTTTTTGCAAAGTCTGAAGAAGAAACTTGTTATGTCCGTTGAAGATTACTATTTTTTTTTTTGCTAAAGAGAGACATTTCTGGATTATATCTCAATACTGGAATGTGTTTCTGAAATCCCAAATGAACTCTGAAAGTGAGAGAAACCAACAAAACACCAGAGAGAAACCACAGAGACAGACCAAGAGAGAACGAACGAGACCCCAGAGAGAAACCAAACGAGACCTAGTGAAGAGGACCAGAGAGACCAGAGAGAGACCAGACAACGAGACCAGAGAGAGAGACCAAGAGAGAAGAGACCATAGAGAGTCCAGTGAGATAGACGAGAGAGAGAGAAGAGAGACCAGAGAGAGACCAGTATGAGAGACCAAAGATAGAGACCAAAGGAGAGAGACCAGAGAGAGACCAGAGAGAGCAAAACCAGAACGAGAGACCATAGAGAGACCAGAGAAGACCAGAGAGAGACACCAAACGAGACCAGAGAGAGAGACCAGAGAGAGACCAGAGAGAGACCAAGAGAAGACCAGAGAGAGACCAGAACGAGACCATAGAAAAGACCAGAGAGAGACCAGAGAGAGACCAAAGAGAGAGACCAAGAGAGGACACAGTGATATAGATGACAGAGAGAGACAAGACCCAGAGATAGACCAGAGAGAGACCAAAGATAGACCAGAGAGAGACCAAAAGATAGACCAGAGGAGAGACCAAAGAGAGAGACCAAAGAGAGAGACCAAAGAGGAGACCAAAGAGAGAGACCAGAGAGAGACCGAACGGAGAACAGAGAGAAGACCAGGAGAGAGTTTCAGAGAGAAGACCAGAGAGAGACCAAAACGAGACCAGAGAGAGAGACCAAGAGAGACCAGGAGAGAAGACCAGAACG